ACAGAAGAGAGAGAGCCTGGGATGTTCAGATTGCTGGGCTCCACAGTGAAAAATCATTTTTAAGTGTTAAGTACAATTACTATTATTACTATTTTAACATTCTCTACCTTAGTCTTCCCTATCTTTTTAAAGCTTATGCAATAAAGAACAAAGACCTCTAACAACCTTTCAGCTTTTACTTTTATTTAAATCCAAGAGAACTGACGGTGCTACTTCTTTTGCAAACAATCATTATTTCTAAAAGGAATGTACCTTGGAAATGAACAGTGAAGAGTTCTTTCAACTCTGTACACATCACTGCCACAATTCATTCCAGTGCAGGAAAGCTGCCTTGTACTTATGGAGACAATGAATAGAGTTGTTACTGGGTTATCTTCCTGAAAAAAGTGTATGTACAGAGAGAAGGAGGCTGTAAAGTAAGGTTAAAATAAGAATAACCAGTTTGGGTGACTGGATATAAAAAAAGAGTGAAAAGTAGAAATTAGATAAAGGCACTGTGACTCCCAGTTTGTCTACGTATCTTTTCTAAGGGACATTCTTTGGGAATGGATTCACAGCTGTGACATAATACTTTATACTTTTAGTCCTTCTCTTAGTTTTTCTGTTACATGTATCACCAAAAACCCAGCTAGCCAGGCACAACATTGTTTTCGACCATGTATATCCAAAAAGCAGAAATTTATATAGAACTTTTTATGAGAGCACCTCAAAGGTGTTTGGAAATGTAAACTATCACTGTAATGAAGTTGCCTAATTATTGGACAGTATATTATCTCAGTAAAGCACCAGTCAGTAGAGGGCTCCATATTCTCCAACTACAGAAAAGGGAAGAATGCCATGAGGTCACTAAGTACTGTGGTTAGGAGAGAGCTGGAGAATGTGAGTAAAAGAAGCAGCAGCCCAACAACTGAGAGTAGAGAGAAAGACCAGGTAGTATACAAACCTGGTAAAAGGAGAGCTAACCACAGGTGGCACAAAGCCAGCCACAAGCTGCAACAGGAAGACCCAGGGGGCAGTGTTTGGGCAAGATAGCATGAAGGGATCCCAACAAAGCTCTTACTCCTATTCTCCTGTTTTAGACAGCCTTAGGTGCAAGTTAGGAGCTTTTGCTTATCTCTACCTTTAACAGTAAGAAAATTGTGACTAAGTTATACTCTTTCTGCTTTTACTAGCCCTAATAATTTGCATTTACTCAAAGTGTGCACATTTTTATAGGAAATCACTGAGGGTTACCTCTGAAGTGCTCATAGCACTTGCCTTCAAGTATATGATGCGCTCAGTACAGAGGGAGAGATTTACTACAGCATTATTAGGGTAAAAATAGAGGTCATTGCCAAATGAAGTGTGTGACCTGTGGCAAAATGTGTCCCGCTATGGCTGATGTGGACATGTTCCCCTTGCCAGGGATTCCCCACGTCCCTTGCTGGCCCATGCTTCCTTCCTGTGACCCATGTCAGGTCCCATGATGACCTATGCATGACGCAGAGGCATGGCTCAGCATGGGTCCTGCCATGGAGTGGTGCAGAAGTATGGGCTATGTGGAAATCCCCAGCACCCTGCGTCTCCACACCAGAACCTGTTTCAGGCTATACTTCTGCATGAAGCACAGATTGGCATGAGTCCTAGCAAAGAGGTGTGAGGCAGGGTGGAAAGCAGGGACTCTCTGGGGGTGCATTTCTGTAAGCGTGGGAAGCCTGCATGGGTCCTAACGTGGAGGAACAAGGCCACACAGGTCCTGTCATGGAGGCACAGGGCACTGGGAATTCCCTGGGTCCCTGCTTATGGAGATGTGAACCTAGAGATCCCAGGGCTGGTCTTAGTTAAACAGGGAACCCCAAGTTTCCCTTCTTATGGAGAGGCACCATGAGATGCTCTAGGGCAGTCTCTATAAGCAGGAAAACCTGGGCAAGTGCTCCTGGGGCTTGAGAGGGCCAATCCCGGGTGGGAATTCCCAGGGTGTGCAGGATCAGGCCCCTCAAAGCCCCAGAGCCACAGGGTGGCTGGAGAGTGCAGGCAACTCCAGGCTGCCTGCACTCTCCCACCACACAGCAAACAGACATTCAGCTCAATAAAGCAGCACTACTTTACACAACATTTTATCGTAGCCACTGATATGGTGGGACAAAACCTAGAGGCATCTATTTGATCACCATCTGTACTGCCATAAAAAAATTATGGCAGCACAGATGCAATGTCAAGAGATGCCTGTTTCTTCCTTCAGTAGTATTATTCAGCAGGGTTGGTTATATTAATAACCAGGGATCCTGGTTTTCTCTGTTAAAAAAATCCCAAATTCTCTAATACCCTCAAAATCCACATATGATTAAAAATCCACATCCATGATTAAAAGGAAACACCACTATATATATAGGTATTAGTTGAACACATCCCTGTTTTATTGATATATTTACAATTCAAAGGCAATTGGAAGCCTACCAGTGCCTCAATCATTATAATAAAATAGAATTTAACTACCTATATATTTTTGCATTGGATTTTGTTTTGTCTTTTTAGTATGGAAAATCAGTTCTCCCTGCCCTCTTTGCTCACCAGGATGTGGGTCTAACTGTGGCCATCCCTGCAGCTGCTTTTGGGTGAGCAGCATCCCTGATTATGCTGGTGCCCCTCACTCCTGAGCCACAGTCCCCTTATTCCCAACCTGCAGCCACCCGTCCCTGCCAGTGCCCTTAACTCCCAACCTGCAGTCCCCACCCCTCCCGGTGCTCCTCACTCCCAACCTACAGCCCCCCGTTGCTGCTAGTGCACCTCATCCCTGACCTGCAGCCCTCTGGCCCTGCCAGTGCCCCTCACTTTCAACCCACAGTCCCCTGCCCCACTTCCAGCTATGCTGACACCCCTCACTTCCAACCTGCAGTCCCCAATCCTTGCCAATGCCCCTCACTTAACCCACAGCCCTCTACCGCCGTAGCTCCCTGGTACCCCTCACTCCTGACCTGCAGCCCCCTGCCCCCCCAGCCCTGCCAGAGGGCCCTCCCTGTTGCACCCCCTCTCCCCGCCCCCGCCCAGCCCCATGCAGACTCACAGGATAGTGGTCTGTGGGGACATGGCAGCCTCCAGCATGAGGTGCATGCAACGGAAGCACAGGAAGAAGCTGGGACACCATAACACACACCCCTGTGCTGCCAGCTTAGGTTGCGCTCCACAGCAGCAGCATGAAGCCAAGCTTGGCTCTGGCCTAGACCATGCAGTGGGTAGCAGGAGAGCAAGGGGCTCCAGGCAATCTCCATCCTGCCTAGGCTGAAGTACAATGGCTGCAACTTGTGTAGGCAGTGGTAGAATAAGTCTGGCACCAGCACAGGCTGGAGGAAGGAGGAGGGGACACCTGTGGCACCCCTCACCCCAGGGTGGCCTAAGCAACCCTCCCCACCTGCTGGCAGCATCTCCTGGCTGTCCCACCCCTGCCCTGAGAGCACGGGCATGAGGCCCCAGGACTGCTGGCCTGGCCACGCATCTCCCTGCTGGCCCTGAAGGACCCCCCTGCCCCTGCCCCCACTGGAGGGTCAGGTGCCTCTTGGAAGCCCTGCTGGCAACAGTGTGGAGCTGGGCTCACTGGCAGCACCAAGCACTGCCTTACACCCCCCTGCCCTGCCGCAACCCTGGTAACCAGACACTTTCCCTCCAGTGCCAACAGGCACCTGCCTCCCCTCCACACACACATCACCTTCCACACACACGTCCATCCCCCACCACACACACGCAGCCCCCTGGACAGTCCCCAAGCCCTGGCCCTCCAGCCCCCTCTCCCAAAAGACTTACCTGTATCCAGCTGCCAGGGCTGCTCCTACCACGCTGCCTCGCTGTATGCTGGCCACGTGTGTGTGTGTGCACATGCACATGGTGCCCCCTACCTCCACTCGCCATCCCCCCTCTCCCAAGCAGCTACTTGCAGCCTGGAAGGCTGGTGGTGATTTCCCACATTTTTCTCCTTTAAAGGAGAAAATTACATTTTTCTGTGGGAAATGGAAAACTGGATCCCTGCTAATAACCACTCTTTATGATAATATATGTATTATAGAGATGGTCAAAGTGAAGCCCATGCCAAAGCTCAGAGATCAGGGAAAAGTGAAATATACTTTTGGCCATTTATTTTGAGACAAGTTTCGGCAGCATTGGGCTTTCATTTGGTTACCCGTAATCTTTAAGGAGCCAGAATCCAGAATCAATTGGTTGTAGAAAAGCCCTGGTCAAACCCCTCCATTCTCCAGCAAGCATTCCTGTGCCAAGGTCATAAAGGTGACTACTTTGATTCCACACCTGCCAGGAAATGCCTCATATGGAGGAAGTTTCCTCAGGAACACTTATGGCAGCTTTATGACTTCTCTACCTCAAGGAGCCATGAAGCAGAAATGAATCCATTCCAGATAAACATCTTGTAAGAGGCTACACAATAAGTAGCAGAGAGGAAAGAACACAAAAATATGTATATGCTTTAATCTCTTGGTTTATCATTACCAATGCAGAAGAGTCAAATGCTAATTTACACTAGGATAAATCATCTTTTTTGGAGTCATAGGAATGAGACAAGTTTTTAAAAAAAGATAAGCCTTTATGTTGGCTTAAAACTATAATTTTATGTTGTAGCTTTTTCATTTCTAGCAGTGTCTATGGATAGTCTCTTGTAATTGCTTGGCAGCTATAATAAATCAACCCATGTGTCTGGCATGCAAGTTTCTCTGAAAATGTTTATTTTTGTCAGGAATAAAGCTATAAAATACATTTATTTCAAAATGATCATGGATATCATGCAAAAAAACTTCTAACTTCATTCTTCTCCCTTCTTGGTAGGAAACTTTCATATAATAGGAACTCTGAAGTGAGCCTTGTGCTTGTGACAATGGGGTAAGCTGATTAGAAATCATGAAAACCCTTGTTGCTTTTTAGCTTTATTCCCCCACAGGCTGTATTATAGCTCTCTAACCAGTCCCACAGCATTGAATGATGTCATGGGATCTGCAGTTCAGCAAGATGAAAGGGATAAAGCGGAACCCGCTGGCACTAGGGAAAGCTTTCCAACACACAATCCACAGCACAGCTTGGGAACTGAAAAAGCTACAGCCACTCAGCTCTAAGCATGGAAGAATCATGTGCATTCTCTCACCACAAAGAGGAAGAAAAAAGCTAAAATGATCAATTTTTAAATAGAAGAACTCAAGAATTTGAAGGCAGAATTTAAAAGGACAACTACCTGCTGGAAAGGGAGCTTTTTCCTCTCCAAAGCACTGACTTTGATGTATGACAACTGATCACTGATCAGATTACAGGCATTTGGTCTCAGTGCTCGTCTGCCTTTGATCTGCATGGTTAATTTTATTTTCCTGCATTTGGAGTTTCGTCTGGGCTTGTGCTGACATACTTTTTTTTAAAGGAGGTAAAAGCATTTAATACAGTAGCTGGCAGTGTAAAATTAAGCTGCAAAAAGGTTGACTATTGGAAAAAACTTCAGCCGATAGCAGGTACTGAATTTTGTATTTCTTTATAACTTTGCATTGCAGGGTTTCTTATAAAATGACCAAGCTGCTTTATTAGCAAAATTACACATCATGATATATGCAGTTTAAAAGCTACAGTCCTACCTATGAATATAATAAGTAGTTTATTCAAGTTTTATTTGCAGATCTGGTATGTAAAATAGTAGTAATAAAAAGCTAACTAAAATATATACTACAAATTAATTTGAACTAATATTTTTGGTATATAACATTTTATGTCTTAGGGTTTGTAGTTACTGTGTTCAATTTTTAATATTAGACTAATTTATATGAAGATTGTGTGAGTTAGGAGCATGTTACCAATCTTATTAGTCACATTAGAAAAAACTAATCATGTCTGTTGTGTACATGTATATATTATTCTCTCACAGTTTGCTTCTGTCCATATATCAAGCATTCTTCAACAGTCCTTTTAGTTTTAAGAGTGGCATACTTAAAGAGCATTTTTGCAAGAGCAAGTACTTTTTATGATCATGAGATCCTGATTTGTAAAATATAGTCCTTTTCTTTTAAGTGCAGAGTTATTCAATTTGGCATTTTAAACTAGTAATGAAATTAGGGAGGGTCTTTCACATACTTGTTAGAACTAATAGCATATGTTTATTAAATAAAAGGGCTTTCTGTAAGGTATTTTAATAAAGGTACTAAAGAATCCTTAAGCATATCTAGTGTGAAATCTTAGACCTATTGAAGTCAATGGGAGTTTTGTCATTGATTTTAATGGGGCCAAGTTTTACAGCTAATGTGTTATATTTACGCCCCCAAATTTAGCTAACTAATTACTGTGTGTATGAAAAATGACCAGTCATTCACATAAAGTGCTTACTGAGTAATAATCTCTTAAGAGATTTAAGAAACATTCAAATTCAGACAAGTTTTCAGACAAGTTCAGGGACAACTTTTTAAGGGCTCAGCACCTAGAGTTGAAGCCAGGTGTTTAAAAGATTTCAGTTCCTATTCAGGCATTTAAATACAGGACTTCAACAGAGCACAGAGCCCATCACTGAGGCCAGATCTGCAAAAAAGCTTGGCAGCTTGTATCATGAATACATTTAAAAACCTGGCTCAATTAATAGGGACTGAGCTCCTTGGAAAAGCTGACTAAAAATGTTTATCTGAAAACTTTACCCTAAAGTGTATTTACATTTTAAATACATTTTTTACTACAAAACTACAGCTGCCAGACAGAGACAACACAAGACATGACATAATGAACATTCAGTAAGAAGGGTAATTGTTTAAAAAAAGACTGGGATAGGTCATCAATCTACAACACACTAAAAAGGATTTTTTATACTTTAATGAAATGTGTATGAAAGTACTCTAACGTAATACATATACATTTCTAATGAGTTGCATATAATTCAGACAACCTAGTAAATCTGGAGAAGATTTTAATCAACACTTTTAGAAATATGCAGTCAGGCTTCATTACTCAATCTGTTTGCAAACTTATTTCGTGTCAAGTTGGAAAAAAAGAGGAATCCGTCTACAGAAAAATCATTGTGAATATGTTTGGACGACCAAATTTTAATTTTCTAATAGATTCACCAAGTCTGATTTCAACTTGAATTTTCAACCCAACCAATTCATTCATATTCCTTTTTAAAGATTCCAGTCCTTACATGACATTATAAGGAACATAATTAACATTGTATAAATAATACATGGTGTTATTAAAGGCATAGCTAGGGTAAAAATGCAATACATTTTCACTTACGGAAAAAATACTTCCTTAATGGTTGATCATTTTATGTGCCTGCAAAGGGGTGTCCTATTTTTGTTTTTAGTTTTATTTACCAGAGTTAGCCTTTCTTGGTCATCTTCCTTCTTCCTCTCCTCACCCTTCTTGTTATTTCATTGACTTGAATTATATCACCTTAGTTTAGGAAACTACTTCTATCTGCTGTCAAGTCATAAGAAAAATTATTAACTTTCTAAAAGGACTACTGTATTTAATTTGTTTTAGTTCATACAAGAAACAAAAATATAGTTAATTCGGTACATTATGAGCCATATAAAGTATAACTGTGAGAGCATGTTCCTACAAATATTCACAGAGACAGGAGTCACTTACATAATAATCCCATCTAAAACAAAAGGACTGCTCATGTGAGCAGGTTACTTATATATGTAACTGTTTGAAGCATTCAAGCCATTAAATTACATTTAGAATATATCAATTTTTTGCTTAAGGAAAGAGATGCCTGTATTTTAAGTTATCTTGTCTCATAGTTAGACATCCATTATATGCATCCATTTAAAGTGGAGAACTGAAGCCTACATCCAATGAAATAAATATTAAACTGAAAGATCACTTGGGGATCAGACAACCAGAAGAAAAACTTCTGTATGTTGTTACTTAAAGACAACAATATGAGTTTAGCCTTTCATCTATCTGACTTTTAAAGATTTAATAATAATAATTATTCTTGGCACTTACAAGACTTTACACTTACAATGCACTGTATAAACATTAATTAATGCTTAGATTTAATCTGCACAAAGAAGTAGAGTTCTCAGAGGTTTTTTTAAGCAAATCTGGCTACAGGAGGGCTCACATGTAAAAATATTATTTATTTATTAAACAGAATTGTGCAATTCTTAATTATAAATATTGAGCCATTTCCAAACAGATTGTCTTAGATAACATCATAAACATATTCTGAAGTTTGTAATAGTTAAGAACATCAAAAGACACTGTAAGGCTTTACTGATACCTGTTTCCAACAATGCATAGTAAGTGTACATCCATGTAACAGTTGATGAAGGAACTGTCTAAGTGTTTTCAGATATAGAGATAACAACTTCCTACTGCTGCACGGTGTCTGTTTCCACAACAGATGTCATTCAACTTATCCTTCTCAAAAGGATCAGCCCAAACTATTTCCCAAGTGTTTCTCTTTTCTTTTCTCAGAGATTTCTCTAATTTTTGCTATAACATTTGGTACAGTTACAGATGGTGTATTAAGTCTTTAATTGCTAAAGGGTACTAATATTTTTAAACACTGGTCAAAGACTGCGTCATTTAAAATAACGTTTGTGATTTCCAAAAATTCTGCAACATGCAAAGAAGTGATTCACCCATTCTATAGTAATAAGGAAATAAACAATGATATCTAAAATGTGAATGACAGGCGCTGTACAAATTTCAACACTATGGGCTGCATCAATCCACTGAGTACTTGCCATCAATCCACTGAGTAGTAACTTCCTCAATGGGAGTTCCATGTGAAGAAAGTGTATTAATATTTTCCTTTCAATGGTAATTTTCCACCACCCACACACACACACACACCAAATGTTTAAGGTTTTGGGGTTTGTTTTGTTTTTTTTGGGGGGGGGTGTTCTAATTACACTATTTTGAATAAAATATTTGAATTGCAGATGGCAATTCCACAAAGAGAAACATATTTACAGGTGTCAACACAAAACGGATGCATACTTAACAGCTGTTTGTCAATGGCAAGAGGATGTAGTATTCAGTGCTCTGCAGCAGCTGTTACTTACAACAGATGTACTAGGGTTGTACATTAGCTTGTCATTCTTTCAAAAATTCCACACTCTTAGAGGTCCCTCTGTTGAGTGCTAAAATGTATTCTTCATTAGGTCATTTTTCAGTACTTAAGCCTGTATTTGTTCAAACAGTGACAAACCTGGAAGCTCTTTCTTGTTGGAACCATGTGCTTCTTAAGAGCCAAGTAATTTTATTCCAATCTTCTCATTTTTCATTGAGTTTATTTTTTGTTTATATGGTTCCCTCCCCCAAAAAGCCTTAGGATGGCTTACAATAAAAACAGTATCAGTCATAAAAATAGATAAAATACTAAAATAAAATAATAAAAGATAATACAACTCCCCTAAGCAGTACCCCAAAACTTAACTGTGTCTGCTAAAAGCCTGCCCAAATAGAGTCTTAGAGCAATTCTCAAAGATATCCAGGCTTGGACTCCGCTGGCCTCAAGCGGGAGGGGAGTTTCAAAGCTGTGGAGTGACTATCCAGAACAACCTCCTACATACTTCTGCCAAATGAACTTGGTGCACAAATAGACCATGTGGGAGGTTGTTCTCAGGGAACCGTAGAGATCATGATGGAACACAAGGAGGGCGGTGGGCTCTCAGGTATGTAGGACCAAGGGCAGGACCCAGAAAGCTACCAGAAAGCAAGAGAAGACACAGGAGCAATGAACTCCTGTCATTAGGCAGCCGCCACGTTCTGCACCAGGTGCAACTTCTGGATGGTCCTTGAGGTCTGTATAGCACATCGCAGTAGTTGTATTTTACCACACAAAGTCAAACCTGTTAGGGAAGAACAGAACAAATCAATCCCCGACCAAAACCTGACTTGTTATGGTACTGGGAGCTCTAAAGCTTAAACTAAGTTAAGTGCCCTCTTACTGAAACACACGTCTTCCACATTTCTCCCTCTTTGAATCATCCTAATCATAACACAGCCTAAGGCCGGTTCTTGGAACTTCCCCCCTCTGTTGTTTATGTCTTGGCAGATCCATCAACTCTTTGGGCACTTTTATGTGTTTTCAAGGGGTGGAGGGGGTGGCACTGTAACTGGAGTGACTCAGAGAGCTGCTCTTAATTAAACCGCTGCATCATCTTGTGCATCAGCATGGTGGTGGGGGCATTTGAACTAAAACTTGTTTGATGAGCTTAGATAAAGCGCCCCTGGCACCATTTTGAAGCACGGGGATGCCAATGCATGGGAAGCGGGAAGGTGCTGGAGCGCACTAATGACCATGCTCCAGCAGACTCGGTTAGTCCCACGTGCTGTAACTACAGCGTGTCGGCATGCAGGCTCCAAGCAGACAGCCGGGAAGCCCCGGCTACGCAGGGCCAGCCTGTTGCCTCTGTTCTCCCGCAGCAGCGCCACAGCCTGCAGAGGTACCCTTGGTGCCTCGCACGGGGACAACGGATCTGGCCGGGCAGCTGGATGTCGCCACAGCCTTGCC